TGCATGATCTTACCCCATCACAAAGAATGAATAGCCATCAATGTGCCATGACTGCACAGTGTCTTCCCAATTTTGGAACACAATCTCAACGTATTCCCGGAAATCAGCGTGCATCACGGAGGTCTGGAGGTAGCCGCTTCCGCCTGTGGGGTTGGTCGCAATGCTTCCAACGCTGAAAACTCCCTGAATGTTGAAGTAGTCAGCAAGTTTCAAAGGAGTGTCTGGTTGAACATATGAGACACTGTTGACAGCATATCGCTGCTTGCCATTGATCCAAGGAGCAGAGTTTCCAAGCATGATTGTCCTGGCTGGTTTGATCAATCCATAGTGGTAGGAGCCTTGCGGATTAGGCCTTGGCCCGCTCGCAGTCAAATTCCATCTGATTGTATTGAAAGAGCATGGAAATGATCAATGTGAGAAAAGATACCAATCTCATATCCGATAAAAATCCCTAACAAATACGAAGAATTTCTTCCACGAAACGGAAATGCCATTTGTTGGTATTTTAAACTAGTCATTCACTATCAAGTAGCAGAGTTAAAACACATGACAATGCACGATTAGCTTGAAAAGACAATATAGCAAAGAATCATAATGTACCTTATAGATCTCGCTTGGCTTACAGACCAAGCAATCTGTGTGGTAGGACCCCAAGGGATAGGACCCGAAACTCCCTTACGTGAATTGCTATAGTGAAGAACGGCTGTTGTGGTGAGTACCTGGCGGGTGAAGCGTGAAGACACAACGACGTAGTAGTCCTGCACAGGCTGATTAGCCGTGACCAAGACGGATAAGGACTGTCCGAGATGGATGTCAAGGGAGTCATACGTGTTCTGCAGTGTATGAGATCCTTCCACCTCAACAAGTTTCATTTTGTGTCCTTGAATTCTGAAGTTAATGGATGTCGTAAGGCCCACGTTTGATATCCTAAACCTATATGTCTTGCCTGCAAAAAAAATTGTTCAAACAATGAGGTGCAAATTTGCCTTTATTCGTAAGCACAGCGAGACGGTTACAATACTGTCTTGGTCAACTAGCCTAATTAACGAAGTGAATTTCATTCGAGGATACCTTGATCAACGGTGAATGTGTATCCGTTCCACCCACGACCGTTGATGAGAAGCCCGTCAGGGTTGGGAAGAGCTCGACCTCTATCCAAGAAGCCTCGTCTCAGTATCTAACATTTCCAAAACATGGCTTCAAAGTCTGAATTTCAACGTTTTATGTGACAAAAATATGAGTTTAGTAGGTTAATTACATAGTGATTAGTCTTGAACCAGTCGCCTGCCAGCACGGTGAAGTCTCCAGCAGGAGTAGGGAAAGGAACGGGAATCTTAGGACGGCTCCAGATTCTGATGCCACCAAACCCTCCGGCGGCTTTGTGGAACTGGAGGGACGGAAAGTAGAAAAAGCTACCAATTTGATCCTTGACTTGGATATTGTAGGTGAAGTTCCTCCCCGGCGGGATTGGGCAGGTTGTTCCAAAAACTCCGTCCTGCCATGAGTTCCTTCTCTGCTGTATGCCATCCCTACAGAAGAATCACACGACATGAGAATCGGATTGAAGCTAAATTGTGGCACTTCAACGGTTACGATTAAAATGCAACTTGATCATAGATAAATTTAACATTTGTAAGTTTAAAAGGGGTTACTTTACCGTCCAAAAGTTAGAACAATTCTAGTCTGATACTGAAATACAATTACGTGGTATAATCAATCTGGTATTTAAGTACACGTAGATATTCGTTAACATCGTACCTTGTCATTCACTCATATCATAACACGTCATTTGGTTATACCATATAATCGTATTCCAATACCACACAATAATTTTTCTAGAAACTAACTAGTACATTCAACTAACAGTCCCTTCCCAAGCTTCAGTTTCTTTCTAACACATTCAATGTGAGGCTGAAGCCACCTCCACCTCTCTGAATGCAAAGTTAGACATGAATGCTAGTTTGGCTTGGGGTTGGGGGTAGCTGGTGGCTTGTGGGGCTCAATAGTAAATGCGTTATTTGAATGCCAATATCTTGCACATTTTTTTCTTGACATGACAATACGATACTACAAAGTTACAATCTACTCTAATTTACAAAAAGAATGACTAAACTCGAGCATAAGGGTATTTACGGAAAGGATGACCAAACTCGAGTGTATGGAAGGAACACCGGAAATATACACTATCTAGGTCTGCGTAAACTTAGATTCCAGCTCTTTGTTCATAGAATATAAATGTAGGTGTGGTCCTGCGGATGAGAGAGATCTAAGCATGTGAAGGGTCAGATCTCACCACACGAGGCCAGACTCCAGTTGCCTCAAATATAATATTTTGATTATTCTCATGCACTTGAGAAGGCAACATGGGATAGATTATTAACGAATTTAAAACGATATTCTATTCTAAATTATTTTAATTTACGAAAAAATTATATTAATCTAATTAACTGATTTAACTCACATTTTATACGGTTGAGAGATTAAGAGGTGGTTTAATTTGATAACTGAGATTTAAACATTAAACAGCATTCTTAAACAATGGCAGATCCTCAATGAATGTCAGTGCCATAACTTAAACAAAACCAAACCGACAAAAAGATAAAACGGTAAAGATGCTTAATTTAGTTTTTTTTTAACAGTTTTTTTTTTTTTTCTGTACATAATTTCCCATTGATTGTTGAACTTACCAAAATAACCCCATCTTCACGTGCATAATAGACGCGAGATTTCTACTTATTTGGCATGTATGCAAGGAGATATTAGTCATTGTGAAATAAGTAAGTGGAAGAATATTCTGATAAGAAAGTTTCGAAGCCATAGATCTGGGCAAAAACTTTCTAAGTTTCGACTTAAAAACGTATTCTTGGCATTCTGTTTGGTAGCTGAGAAAGCGGAGGGAAACAGAAAGGAAATTAGAAATTTGGAATTACATGCTTTACTCAAAAGAACCCATTTGACAGAACAGAGAAAGGAAAAGAACCCCAGATTCAGAATGATATTCTCTCAGTTTCTCGGGCAGGAATTTTCTCAGGAAACAAACAGAATTAGGGAGATAAGATGACAGAAGCAGAGTATATTTACCAAGAAATGAGGAATGGTTCACTTAGGTAGTTGAAGACGCTGATGACCAAGTTATCGTTTGTCACAGCATCGATCTGAGGCCCTGGAAATTGCCCATTAATCAAGATCCCCTGCAGAAGCACTTCTTTTAATTAAAAAAGCACTTTGAAGATAATGGCTTTCTGCCTCATTTAGTAAAAGAATAGTTGGAAAAACCTGGAGATGTACCTGTTGCTTAACACCAAGCGGGTAAATGTCACCATAAGTGACTTTCCAAGTGAAAAATCTATAAGGGTCTTCGCCATTGACGCCATTGACGAGAAACAGAACCAAGAAAATGGAAAAAGAAAGAAGCTTGCAGTCTCTCATTTTTCTCTGCAAAACCAGAACTTGTTGAAAGAATGTGGCTTTGTTTATAATGTAGATCTAGAGAGAGAGAGAGAGAGAGAGAGAGATTGAGAGAGAAAGCATTCAAAGTAGAAATGGTGAAGACCAAATCTAACCGTGAATCTTTCTCAAATAATCGCTTTCAATATTCACCAATGTGGGCAGTGCTTCTGTGAGCAGAGCTTTTAGCTCTGTTTTTGTAAGCGAGCAAGAGAACAGTAGAAGATGACTTATTGTGTGAGCTGTCAGTGGTTTTCGGTCCAGTGCGTGAGATGGAGTGGTGCATGTGAATATTGGGTTTTTTATGCGCCAATCATGGACCGTTGAATGTCGAGTGAGCCCTACCTGGCATACCGTTGAATTTGAGTCCAGTGTCAAACCCTCACATGGCATTATTCATTCACGTATTATAATATAATGATGTAGATTATATGTCATGAACGATCAAAGGTTAGACGTTAATCAACATATCTCCGTATTATAGCGTGAATGAATTGATAATACCAATTATCAATGTGAACATCAGATCCAAAAACTTGTGCATGAAGCAGGAATAAAGTGTGAAGCAGGAATCTAATAGTTTGAAACCCAAGAAGCAATGAGTTGAAGAAAAAGAATTTACTTATCACAGTAATCCGCCACTTGTATATGACATAAGTATATTGATAACTCTAGGATCGTCACACTAAAAAAACTTGTCCAAACTTTAGGGCAAACTTTTATTGAATTAGGGTTAAAGAAATTTTTTTTTAATACATATTTTTACTGAATAGGGTAAAATAATAGAATTGGATTTAAGTGGTTACCCCCTATCACGGGCACCCGTAGTTTATATATAATTCTAGACCTGCAGCCTAAAAGACAATGAAATGAGCTGTCATGTTATACCATAATATATATATATATATATATATATATATATATATTTATAGATTTGTTAGATTAAGAAGCTGACAGAATTCGAACTCATACCGTGATGCAAGAACAAACTACTATAATAAAGGGCCACTTGCATAATATATTTTACTTAAATATTATCCTTTTTTAAGTCCCATTTGCAGACAAGAGATAAATTAAAATCCCCTAGTTTCGATGAGTTTCATTAGACAAATCAAATTAAAGAACACCAAATGATTATACACAATTTATTTAGCACATTGCGGCATGTACAACATCATTAATACTTTATTTTGTTTGCAGTGATATTTTAAACTATTTTAATTTATGAAAATAGTAGTCATGCACATTGTTCTTATTAGACTTACTGACATAATCTACGTCTACATAAACACATGATCGTTTAGCATTATTGGCATTATTCTCACATTACTACGTAATGGTTCAACTATGTGGAATTTTCCAATTTGGTGATATAATCTAGAAATGCTTGTTCTTGTTATTAAACATTAATTAAATACCATAGTAACCAACGACCGGCTGTTCTTCAACCACAATCTAGAAATTGATATTCTTGTAACCAGTTTCTGTATTACAATCTTATAAAATATAAGAAGTTAGAGGAAAAGGGTGAAGAATTTAATCTGTGTCCTGCCATGGCAAAGATGAAACTGAAATTGAGGAACCAAGGTCCCTATGTAAGTTCATGTTCCCATGCACACTGAAATTGTCGGAAGGAAAGCGGATGGGCGTTGGCTATGTGCCACAATCGGATGTAGAGTGGTCACAAGCTGGTCCGCGCTCTCCTATATATATTTATTTATGTTTTTCTGAATTTGGGTATTTTTCTTAAGGTTGTAATGGACAGTGGAGTGGTAAAGCTCACAATCTTGAAGCCTCAAGGGTATTTAACTGGCATCAGTTATGGAGGAATGGACAATCTTTTAGATGTCAAGTCAAATGAAACCAGCAGAGGGTAACACCTTTACAAATATCTGATATGTATATTTGAACACTATGGTTATCTGATTGATATTCGTAAGTGTCTTTAACGGACATTGAAGAGTTAATCCCGCCTAATCTTCTACTTGCAGATATTGGGATATCAACTGGAGTTTGCCAGGAGGCCAAAACAGATACGAACCGTATGGTTTTGCTCCCCTCTCGTGTGATGTATTTTCTTGAGCATTTTTTTTTTATCTGCACTTGCCTTTTACCCCAAGAAATAGGCAATTAACAGTCTAAATTTATATTGAACTGGACCGAATCATGTCGATATTTCAGACTCAAAGGAGCTGAATATAGTGTTGTTCATCATAGCAATGACAGCTTAGAAGTTTCATTCAAGAACACCTTCATTCCATCATCTGCTAGCGGAGTCAAATTGCCGCTAAGTGTGGATATAAGGTTGTACTTCATTAACGCAGATCTTTAATTTCGTTCGCTGTATGATGCTGTCAAGGTTTTCGATGTTTATTTTGTTTCCTACTCATAGTCATTAATTTTCTTCAGATACATTGTAAAGACTGGTGTTTCTGGCTTCTACAATTACGCAATATATGAGCGGCCTTCTGGATGTCCTGCCTTCGATCTTGCACAGACAAGAATGGCGTTTAAACTGCGAAGAGAGAAGTAAAATCTACCCGTTCCTATTTAGAGTTTCCAAGTGCCTCGGTTCATGCTTATGTTATTTTTATTGGAGCGATATTCTAATTTAAACTACAAAGAGGGGATTCAAATTTGAGTTCAAAGAGAGTACACTACTCTAACTAACATGGCTACGACTAGGTCTGTGGTTCTTGTCTATATGTTTTTACATTCACTGAACTTGTATTAGGTTCCACTACATGGCAATAACAGATGAGAAACAAAGGATAATGCCAATGCCTGAGGATGTGCTTCCACCTAGAGGCAAACAGCTAATTGTGCCTGAATCAGTTTTGCTTGTAGATCCCATCAATCCTGATCTCAAAGGCGAGGTGTGCCTAAAATAATTCATTGCGTACCTGTGAAAAATGATTCTATGCCACGTTGAATTCCGTCAAAACTCCAAATTGTGCTGCTATTTGTATGCCTTTGAATGCAGGTTGACGATAAGTATCAGTACTCGATGGACAACAAAGACAGTGGAGTCCATGGATGGATAAGTTCTGGCCCCACTGTAGGGTTTTGGCTCATCTTTCCCAGCCAGGAGTTCCGAAATGGCGGTCCTACGAAACAAAATCTCACCGTCCACACTGGTCCATTCTGTCTTTCTGTAAAAGTCTGTCACTCTAATCCAATAATAAGACATTTCCGGTTGAGGATCAGCTAAATTTTATGTCTATCTGGTGCAACAGATGCTTCATGGAACTCATTATATTGGCGAAGATATATTAGCTCATTTCGAAGAAGGGGAGACTTGGACAAAAGTGTTTGGCCCCTTTTTTGTATACCTTAATTCAACCCCAGATGTATCAAAGGCACACGATTTATGGATTGATGCGAAAAAACAGGTAGCAATTCTAGCCAAACCATTCTTAACGTCACTATTGAAACCTTAATGTTGCCTTTTGCAAACTGGTTAATGTTTTACTTGGCTCACCCTAGAGGCTGATTGAAGAGACATTGTGGCCTTATGATTTTGTCCAATCGCCCTACTATGTTGCCGTTAAAGAGCGTGGTTCAGTTTCAGGAAGATTGTTTGTCCAGGATAGGTCAGTACCAACTGTTTGTGATTGCTGTTTAATCAAACCCTTCCATGGTATTGCCAGTTCTATGCTATATAGTAGCATTTTTTTTATTGTGTGCACGACTCCAGGTATGTTTCGGATTCTCTCATTCCTGCTAAATACGCATATGTTGGTCTATCAGTTGCAACTACTCCTGGATCCTGGCAAACAGAAAGCAAGGTAAATTACTAACCGATTCAGACTTCCTAACAGAGTGTAAACTTGGGACACAAGTAACCTTCTTAATTCGACGTTTCACTTCTACGCAGGACTATCAGTTTTGGATACAAACAGATATCATCGGGAATTTCACTATCAAGAATGTTATCCCTGGAGTATACGGACTCCATGGCTGGATCCGGGTTTTGTAGGTGATTACCTTGACAACGAACGTATCACAATCTCTGCAGGTATATTTCTGCAGCTAACTTTCTGCGAATGAGGCAGTTCTTTTTCTTTCTCATAGGATTTCATTTCAATGTTAGATCTATCAATACAGTTAGCTAAACACATCAAATTGAAAACATGGCCTATTTTCCACTCAGGATCACAAACACAACTCGGAAACCTGACCTATGTTCCCCTCAGAGACGGTCCAACTTTATGGGAGATTGGTTACCCTGATCGGACGGCCATAGGTTACTACGTTCCCAATGTGAACCCAATGTACGTGAACAAGCTGTTTTTGAACAGCCCCGAGAAGTAAGTGAATTCATCCTTTCCCGAAGATGAAACTTAATGGACCACCCTTATTTCATGCTTGATGTTTCACATTACAGGTATAGACAGTATGGCTTGTGGGACAGATACACTGACGTGCACCCTGAATTTGATCAGACCTTCACTATAGGCAGCAGTAATCCGAAAACCGACTGGTTTTTTGCTCATGTGGACAGGTGTTTCCCTCATCTTATCATATGCAACACGAAACCAGAAACTTCTCGGGTTAATATTATTCAACAAAAGCAGCATAAATCTTCGTAGACCTAAATGCTTGTTCTTCAAGTTTTACTCGATGAAAAAAAGTGTGTCCATTGATATCAGTAATTTGAATTTTGCAGGAGGGGAGCAGATAATAAATACCTTCCAACAACATGGACAATAAAGTTTAATCTCAAATCTGTACCGACCGGCACATACAAGTTCAGACTGGCCATCGCTTCAGCAACCCGCTCGGACCTGAAGGTATGGATGGCAAAAGTTACAGGAGAAAAGTATAAAATGTCCCAGAGGACATAAATAAAATGTCTGTGCTGCAGGTTCATGTTAATGCTATGGACATAGAACACCTGGTGATTCAAGTTTTGAACTTGGGGACGGATAATGCAGTTTGTCGACATGGAGTTCATGGACTCTATCGGCTTTTCAGCGGCGATATCCCGTCAACGCTCCTGGTAAAGGGAGATAACTCCTTATTTCTTTCACAGGCTAGGGGAGGTGATGCACTTTGTGGACTTTTCTATGATTATCTAAGACTGGAGGCTCCGGAAACTGCAGAGAGCTGAATTATCACCCACGGATTGAGGACAATGCCCGCAATCAAGATGGTCCATGGAATCGTTTTACAGCTTACTAGTGCTTCTCAAAGATGTTCATATATAATACTTGTTGGTTGTGACAAGTTAAACAAAAACCTTCTATTGGAAAACAATGTGGGCAGGTTACTTGATTATCATTCAAGTATATACATTTAAGCAAATCTTAAATGTAGAGACACGAGATCCTTCTTTTTTCTCGCCATTAATTTACGTTGCGAGCATCTTAAGCTATGAGAGGATGCGAAAAAATCATAGGAGAATTTATAAGAAGGTCATTATCCATAGCAAGAAACTAAAGATACTAAACAAAATACCAGCCATTCAGTTTGGCAGTTGAACCTTCATCCACAGAACTTCATACAAAATGAGAAGGCAACATCCAACTTCCATATCATATTCATATGAGATAATACTCAAAATACCATGCAACACGTACAAGTCCGTCACAAAAAACGACCGATGCACCTAGGATAACCGCAATCTTTTATGTCAACAAAATGACATCACTGGCTACAGATTGTCAAAAGCAAGCCATAATGGTCACTAGGCAAAACAGGGAGCTCCAGCTTCCTGATCTCCGTCTTCACTTTCTTTTCCTTGATATAAGATACACCCGGTATTGCATCCATCCCAATCATTTCAATTTTACTCACCCTGAAATCATGCAGACTACACAAAAATCGATCTAGTCGCTTCTGCAGTTTTCGGTTGCCAGTCAACATCTTGTTTGACTTGGTATCATATGTCCATCCATCTTCCCCAGGTTTTAACTCTTCCCAAGCATCAACCCATCTGTCAGTTAAAGGAAATTTACCATCCAACTTGTCATCCCAGTTCATGTCACCGCAGAAAATCACATTTTGGTTCTTCTTTAGAAAGTTGACAGCCTCCTTTGCCTGTTCCACACGTTCTTTACTGAACATCTGATCCCATGTTGGAGGGCTGGGGCAAGGGCTTTCGAGATGGCTAGTGGCAACAACCAAATGTTTGTCCTTCTCGACTTCAACTTCAGCAACACAAAGTTCTCTCCCCATCACACTGTTCTCAAAGGGTTTACAGCTGAAGGACTTCACTTGCAATTTGCTTAACTACACATTAATTCATCTGTCAGATGGTATCGTGTTTACTAAAAGATTTATAGATGCATTTAACTCATGAAATCAGCAAAAACACTCAAAAAACTCACAGGACAACAATAAGACAAGAAGGTACTCATAGAACAGCATATCAAAATTCTTTAGCATTTGAAACAACGCACAATAGAAAATTGAGATCAAACTTTCACCTGCATGCAAAAGTATGCACTTGAATTTGCCGTCTCACTTGAAACTGAGCATTGATACACTTTCCACCAGCTAGATTTTCGAAAGATGTCATATATGTTCGGGGTAACCTCCTGCATGAAAAAAGCATCCATCATATAGAAGTTGAGAGAAGGCTGAATCAAACGATCATTCAATTTAAAAGGCTGAAGGGACCTGAAGGCAAATGACATCTGGGCAATGCTGTTGGATAAGGTCACCAAGAGCTTTCATCCTCTTGTGCATTTCTAGGTCCTCTCGGAACCAAACATTGTAACTCATAATCTTCAACGTATTCAAACCCGCAGCAGAAGACCCAGAACCAGTGCCCTCTGAAAATATTGAACTTATTCATAGTGAGAAACTGCATCTGGATCACAGAGTACATAACAGGTATAATATAGAAATTACAATAAACGAATAACTTAGCTATAGAGAGGCATAAGAAGTAGAACAATAAGAGCATCTCCAATATTTAGCTATTACCATAGAAAGGGTTCTCTGCTAAGAGACTAGGTATATTTTGAAGTTTTCAGCTTCCTCGTGTTCTTATTTCCCTCCCACCAAAGGGTCTGTCTTCGTCTTGGTGCTTAAAGCAAAAAACCATTTCTTACATAAAATCATTTGCTCTGTACTGTACTGCCAATGGGTTTTGCTGCTGCTTCTGGAATCATGAATTTGAGCTATGGATTTTGCCTAAGATACAAATAGTTGTGCAACACATTTAGAAATGATAATTCTCAAGTTCCAGTGACATTTTGTTCAAAAATAAAAAAACAAATGGTCAGCATGGCAATAGAATAAGTCTACCCAATTTAGATATCACAAAAACAATCAATTACAATGAAAAGTTCACACCTTTATCATTTGAACCAAATCGAACCCAATAAAAACCAAGAACTTTCGCCCCTTTGCACCCAAGTTTGAATCCTCCTCCCCGCAAATTATAATAGTTTAGAATATCGCTTGTCAAATAAAAAATCAAACCCAATAAAACCAAAAGCTAAGATTGAAGACTGAATACAAACCTTTTACAGTTACCCCCTTATCGGAAGCCTTGAGCCCTGGAGTCACATTGGAATTGGAAGAACCCGATACGGTTATCCCCTTACCGGACGCCTTGGAAACCGATACAGTCATCCAATTATCGGAAGCCTTGACGCCTCGAACCGGATTGAAACTGGAAGAACCCTGTTTAACCTCAATTGGGTGGTCTTCAACCGCCTTCCTCTTGCACCGCTGCAAGGGAGAAAAACAGAGCCCACTGAAGAATCAAGGTCCTCACCGCCACCGATCCCGAATCAGTCATCCAAATCCTCGAAACTTGAGAGGGAGGAGATCGGAGCCCGAGTGTCGCACACTTCGCAGCTAGAGTTCTTGTAGGAGTTGAGGAAAGTGCAGGCCTTGCACGACCATTTTGCAGTGGAAGAAGACGGCGGCGATTGGGATGGCGGCGATGATGGGCAGAGGCAGATTTTGCAGGTGGGCTTTTGAGATGGGGTCGGTGGGGGGTTGAGAAAGGTGCATTCTTTGCATGCCCAAGACATTTTTAGGGTCAGAGCAATAGAGCTGCAGGTTAGTCTAGGGTTTACTGTGCCGCGGTGGGGAAGAAGAGGATGATTACTTAGGAAAGTCAGTGACACAGAAGCTGCAAAAAGCATGGAATTTTGGAGAGCATTGTAATTGTTGGAGTCCTTAAATTCTAATTCCCAAATTTGAAAACTGGCGCTTCTTGGAATTTTGGAAAGCATTGTAGCTGTGCGGATTCTAAGATTTATATAGATTCCTCTGTTTTGTGTTGGACTCCTACACATGAGGTGAAGCAACCTATGATGGTCAACGACTTTAAACGGTTAATTTCGTTTGACTAAAGATAAAAGACATCTGCGGGGATAGCTCAGTTGGGAGAGCGTCAGACTGAAGATCTGAAGGTCAGGTGTTCGATCCACCTTCACCGCACTTGTCTTTTTGTTTTATTAAATTCCAACTTTTTCTTCTTTGCCCTCCCTCATCTTTCTTTTCCATTTGTTTTATTTACATATTAATCGACACTCCTTTTTTAATTTATTGAAAAAGCGTTACTAATATAAATCATTCTATATTCTATGAAAAGCGGAAATCAACCTCGAGTTCAAGTAGACAGTCACATTGCTATAATCAACTAGCTTAATCCACGTTTGTTCAATTATTCATCACTCTGCATTCTGTTCTTGAGATGATAGTTTACTTCGTTTTATACGTTATCTAACAAAAGATTACAGGGCAGTAGATTACCAAATAGCAAATACTGAAAAAGAAAGAAATCTAAGATAAAATGTATTCCCCAAAAAATAAGTTTATTTCAACCTCAGCATGGAGTCACAAAAGGAATGAATAACAAACTAGAGAAATTCCAACAAAAAATACAGATAACATCCCGCTGATGGCACTATTCTGCTGCTGCCGAAGGCAACGAATCTTAATCTGTCTACTCCGCTACTCGAATGCGTAGAATTCACCACTTGCCTCGTCGTGTTGCTCACCTTCTTACTGCACTCAAAACAAAACACCCCTCCTTAAGAACATTAAAAAACTTGTACGCTAAATGAAAACCAATTTACTGTATGCAGCAACAACAGAAAGCTTCCCGAGTCTTACCTTCCGGGAAACATACAGCTCCCGTGACCTGCAATATTCCGACGAAAAAAGGAAAAACGAAACGGGAACGAGGTTATTGTTCATATCTGCATTACATAACCAACATGAAAAGTATACAAATAGAGTGGAGCCCCAGTAGAGGGCGTGTATTCAAGTCTAATCTAAACTACGAAGATGGGAATTCGAATTTGGATGCACAGAGGGCGCACTGCCAACTTGATCACTCCCTTGTCTGCAATTGTCCTATGCTTACAAATTTTATTCCAGCGTCATCTAACCAAATCGAGTCTCATACTAATTCTAATCAAGGTATCAAATCTCCTAATCTTCAACTAAGCTAAACTATAAACTTTAGAGAGAACTCAGCCCTCAGCATCATTGAATGAAAGGGAAAAAATGAGAAATCCACGCAAGCTAGAACAATAATCGGATAATGTAGAGGGAGTAAAACGTACTTGGGTCAGTGGTGGTAATGGTGGCTACACCTTTGAAGTCACAAGACCCGGCAGCCCTCCCTTGATTCTGGAAATAGCTATCAAATGCATACGAAGCATGGCTTTTCACATTATTCGGAGAGTAACAATCCTCCCCCGGCTGAATCTCTGAGCAATTTGCCCGCCCTGGTCCACATGCCCAATCCAATGCAGCCTGCAAACTCTTTCCGTCAACCCCATCCATGGCAATGCAGTAGGTCTGGTTTGTTGTATCATTTGACAAAAATGACCCACTTCCCGATACATGAAGCAAATACACCGCACTCGAATTCCCATAAAACAAGCCCCAATTGGCCTCAGACACCGGCGGAGACCTTAAATCCTCATTGAACAATTCATAAATGTACACACTTGAAGTGATCTCGGGGTGCAAAGGGGTTCCGCTACGATCAAGAATATGCTTAATAAGATTGGAATTGTATGTATCCGCATTGTTGATAGTAGCATAAGGCTCCTTAGAATCCGCCTTTGAAGGCCACCCGCTCTCCGAAACAAGAACCGCAACGTCAGTAACATTAAGGTTTTTCATGGAAAAATAAGCAGCATCAATCATAGCATCCAACACATTAGTATAATGTAGCAAAGTATTGGGATCCACCATCTCTTTCGACGGCTTTAAGGGCTTGAACAGCGCATTGTCGAGAGGCACCACACCTTTGTTCTGCATAAACACATAGTAAGGGTAAAGATTCATCATCAGCGGCGACCCAGTTTTCGACAAGAACTGAAGCAATGGGAGAACAGTTTGTATTAAGCTCTGGTTGAAGAACGCCTGAGACGGCGGAAAAGGATCGAGAACTATCGAGGCGGCGTGAGGGGTCGAAATTTTCACATGGGTGTGCAAATTTGCAGACACTAAAGCGTTGTAAAGCGACTGAATTGCTGGAAGAAGTAGAGGAGCTGAAGAGGGCACGGAAGTTAAGACCTCGTCACCGACCGCAATGCCGGTGATGAGGGTTTCGGGGTAGTAAGCGACGACGTTTCGGCCGACCCAGGAAACAGCGGTGGTGTTGGAGGAGCCGATGGCAAGGAGCTGGTTGTTTGGGACGCTGATGACGACCCGGATCTTGGTTTTGGACAGGGCTTTGAGGATGTTCGGGTCGGCATCGTAGAGGCGGATGTGGTTGATCTGCTGGAATTGCAGAAACGAAACGAGCTCCGACGGAGACAGAAGATTCGAAACGTCGGTACCGATGTTCACGCCGACGAACGGCTCTTTTTCCTGGTCCGGAGTTTGCAGCTTGGTGGTTTCGAATGTCGGTGGAGAAGATGCAGCTGAAAGTGCAGAAAATCAGCAAGAAAATGTGAGAATTGTCGAGAAAATTGCTTGCATTCATTGAAATTTTGAAGTACTAAACATTAGAGTGAAGAAAACCCAGCAAGCAAAATGGTAGAATTGGTGAAAAAAGTTGCTTCCTTCCTTGATTTTTGGAAACTGTTGGGTTTAAACTTTGAAATGAAGTAAACCCAGCAACAAAATGGTAGAATTGGTGAAAAAGTAGCTTGGTTCTTTCAGTTTTTTTAAGTATTTTGGCAGTAAACTGTAAAGTGAAGAAAACCTAGCAAGAGAATGTTATTTACTTATAATTGGTGAAGAAAGTTGCTCACCTTTGGATGCAATGAGGAAGAAGAAGAGGAGGGTTGAGAGGGAGAGGAGCTTAGTGACCGCCATTGGAGAGGAGCTTGAGCAATGCTGCTTCCTCATCCTCTGTTTCTGGTTCAGCAGCTGCAGATCCTTGCATTATCCTCTAAAAGATTTCTTCTTTTTCTGGTGTGGTTTAATTTAATTTAATTTCTTTCTTTCTCTGGGTTTTTGGTTGTTGACCAAATTGATCTACACTCGCTGAGAGAGTGAATCAGTAAGTTGTTCTGAGGGTTTACTGCATTTTTGTAAGGAAATTAAGTGAGTTGCTTCAAGTAATTTACCAAAATGGCCTTGTTTTTGAAGAGGGTTGGTGCACTTTCTTTGATTCTTTTGCCTTCTAGTTGGGTTTGCCTCCAAAAGGCAAATTAAATACTTGAAAATTTAAAGCACTTTCTGGAGGCTGTTACTGTGTGATTGCCACTTGCCAGTTGAGAATTGGGAATTAAAGTAAAAAGAACATAAAACGTGGGGTTACTTCTGCACCTTTGCGATGGTGTTCTTGCATCACAGCCTGGCTTCCTGCTTCTCTCTGAAGGGTGTGGCTCAATTCAGAGAAGACATTTTTGGGCTCAAACTACTGTAAAAACTTACGTACAATTGCAACGTAAATGTGGCGATATTGTAAGTCTATTATACGCTGTTACATGTTTTAATCTACTCACATGCATTATCTGATTGGTTATAAATATCCTTACCTGATAATCATATGAATTTTTCTCTCTATTAAAATATACAGTGTTATGCTAATGTAGTGATATTTCATAGCAATCACGTTGGCATACATTTTAACTTTTCACATTACAATGTATAATTAGTTTGGAACATCGACAAATTAACATTTCCGTTGTAAGAAAGTGCTTCTTGTGCCGTGGAGGAGAAACGGGCAAAAGACATTGCCAGCCAAAAACGTGACGAGCATCCAGAGTTTTCTTGGGTAGCATACAATTTACAGAGTCTCTACGGCACTATATTCTGCAGTGAGTCACGAGCACAAGTAGAACGACAGCGTACAGGTGAGGGTGGGTCACCAAAAACAAATGCCTTCTCTTGCTTTGCGCACTAGCAATAGTTTGATTAAACAACCCTCTCAGTCCGACAGGTTTCTGCATTTTCATATAATTACATTCTTCATCAAACAGTATGCCTGCATTCCTCATTTTTCAACATGAATCTGATACCCATTCTTACATGTAACCGGAAAGATGCCCCCTCTCCTCTCGCTTTGCACGAAAGAGGGGACATACGTCCGGTTACGATAAAGTTTTTCTTAATGCCTACATAAAGGTTTATGTTTTTAAGCTGCAATTAGGTAAATGTTGTTGGACCAACAACATCTGTAATTTCTAGGTTTTCTCAACTGTAACACAGAGAAAGATATGTCCTTTGAATATAATTATGAAAAATGGGTGGGCAGAGGTAAGGTGTTTTGGTGGAGAAATTTTTTAAAGTGCTGGAAACACGGCTGGTGCACTAGAGGAGAAACCGAGAAAGACTGACTAATTGAAATAAATAATTTGAAAGTCCTTTGTTTAGCGGCTTTGTAACGCTCCTAATTCTCGTTCTTGTATTTTTCGACGGGGATAAGAGGGGAAAATCTCGAATGTAAATATTCAGCCGTTTACCATTATACTGGTTTGAGAAAGCACAAGTCAATAAATTTTACTACGAAGAATGCCGCAGTAAAAAATGTGAATGCTACAAGAAAACCAAATCAGAAATCACTCGCTGGAGACCAAAATGAAAATTACAAGAGCCCTATTGTGAGGAACTGTGAACACACTATACCTAAGGACTTGGAGACATTCTTGGAGAAACATAGATACATTTCTAAAAACACAGATTCAACGAAGAATCGATAGCATTTATCGGCGACTGCAGCTGGTTAGCCAACGAATGTTGACTTCACCGTTTAGGTATGGAG